AATCTAAGAGAAAGAATGAAATRAAAGTTAACTGGTCCCTGTACTTCATCTACAAATGGGCTTATGTACATGGTGTCCTCTCTCCATGTGGTAAACAGTGGGAGGCAGGGTCATCCTTATGACATCTTTATGGCCTAAATAACCAACTGAAGGACACCCCCCTCCCAGCCTGGAGTGCTTATTGTGTATTTGGGTGGAGCTGTAAGGCGTGAGCAAGGTAGTCTGGCACTTTTACACACTGGAGAATAATTTTGCACATTCAAGAACATTTTCCTTGAGAAACGCCAGGTTTGGACTAGCTTTCAGAGGTTGGGAACAAAAAGCTGGAAAGCTCCTGTATTGCATTTAGAAGCAAAAGACACTGGGAATATTTTCAGAAGCTCAAGGAAAAATCTGCTTTCCCAAACGAGTTAAACAGTAAATGAGTGCATATTGTTGCACATAGGTGTACATTAAATTTCAGAGCTTTCAAAAGTCACATCCTGCCACAATTAGCAGCTCAGTGAGTATTCTTGGCCTCTGACCTATAAATAAACACTCTAATTCTGCAACATGCCCACAGATTCTTAAGTGGCTCTAAAATAAATAAATAAAGCAAAAGCAAAAAAACAAAAAAACAAACAAACAAACAAAACAGGACTACAAACTGGTTAGAAATCTGCAACCCAGAGTGTAATGTTTGTCCTTTTTTTAAAAAAAAAGGACAGCAGAAATTTATATTAGCTTTTTGGAATAGTGACCAAGAAGAACTGACATGCATTTTCATAACTGGGAAATAATTATTCATAATGCTGAAGAAGTCAGATCTTCAAGAGGAAAGCGTGTGGTCTCTTGCAAAGAAATAGTGTGCTAAGCTTCAGCCACTGGACGCTTCCTTTTTCAGAGTATCTGGGCTTGTTCACTGTCAGGCAATGTATGTCAGGATATTGGCAATCCTTCAAGGAAATATTCAAAGGATGATTTACAATTGGCTGGTGCTATCCCCCAGAGCCCTTTTTCACTTATGTCCTATTGTACGGAAACAAATTAAGGACATTAAGCCAGAGGATAAATGTACCACTCAAAATACACACAGGTACTCCATGCTCAAGTCAAAAGCCACAGGAGGTGTCAAATAGAATTCCTTGCCTACCTCTTTAAATACTAACACCCTGAGAGTTCACATGATTTTATCGGTACAAAATTTAAAACATGGGCAAAAGTGTCCATATTGGAACTTGTCTCATTCTGGATACTGGAATCCAATCCTCCTTGGTCTCCTTTTCCCATGTCCTCTTCCTATTTTATTAAATTAAGTCAGATCCTTTAAAAAAAGGATCCTAAAAAAAAAAAAAAAAAAAAAAATTTCCTCCAGCCAGGCTTGGTGGCACACATCTGTAATCCCAGCAACTCCAGAGGCTGAGGCAGGAGGATCACAAGCCCGATCAGGGCCAGTCTTGGCAATTTTTCSAGGCCCTCAGCAATTTAGCGAGAACCTCTCAAAATAGAAAATAAAAAGGACAGAGGATGTGGCTCARTGGTTGAGCTCCCCTAAGTTCAATCCCCAGTACAAAAAAAAMCCAAACCAAACCAAATTCCCCCACAGGTAGTTTTTCTAAAAGATGCTCTATAAGTTACAACACAGACCTTGAAAGAGGGCAAAGGCTGGAACATTCGTCTCAGTTTTAATTTGGGATATTTAAGCACTTGAACTCATATGTGTATTTTTTTTAAACTTTATTACACTCTCTATGAAATTCACTTAATGACATCATAATTTAGGCACTTTGAATGAATCACACTTCAGAATGATATGAATACTACAAACCTTCCAATCATTATTAGTAGTATCTTTATTAATTAATAGTGGTGATAAATTTTKCAGTTCTGCACGTGGGCACACTATCCCTTTACCTGGATTGTACATTAAATTTTCAAGTCATTCTTAACCAAAGGCTTAGAAGCAGACAGGAAAAACAATTGGTTGCAGGCAAATTAGCACGTTAATTGAAATATGATCCTATATATTGCGCTTATGCTAATGGAAAGGAGAGAAGACCCAAACTTCTAATTCTCTTCCAACAAGGGGAAAAAAAAGTAATGGCTGGGACAATATGGATCTTTGCCTAATAGATTACATATAGTAGGTGGTCAATGATCACTCAGGGATTACATGAATGAAGGCATAAACAGCAACCAGAGACACTGACAAAGTCACAAAGACAAACCTCGACTGTTGGCATTTTGTTGAATTAAGTAATCTGATTTCAAAAATGATCATTTCTTATTTTGCTCTATTTAAAAATTGCAATCAATTAAAGGAACATAGAGACCCATATATTATAGGTAATACATGCAGTTAGGGTCTCTGTGCTTGGGCAGGTATCAAAGTTGTGCAGGCTAGAAAACAGGACGGAACGCGTAACTGTCCCCACATCCTACAATCAGTTTGAAAACACAATTCCGTCCCCTTGGACCCATGGTAAAACCTTGAAGATAACTTCTATCAAACCTGTCTCTTGCTTGTGCAGACTAACTAAAGTTGTGAGATTCAAAGATTTAAAAATCCCGATTTATTATTGCTGCTAGCCTTCAGATTCAGCACCATACCAGAAAAATATAAAAAATCACCTCCGTCTTCAAATTCTACATTCTTAGAAATGGTTCCCAGGAAGTGGCAATGATGAATGAGGCTTAACGGTTTTCTGACTGCAAGCACTTACAGGATTTATGAATGGAAACATGTGAAGGCCACCCTGGCCAGCTCTGTAGCCCCACACTTTCTCCCTGGGTTATTTATAGAAAGCGTATGGCCAGTGGAAAAGATCACATTTATTTTTACAAGTCATGACAAGACCAAAGAGTTCCACTTCCTCTCCCTGGGAAGGTCACCCTTTTCACCTGAGCTGCAAGAAGGGCAGAGAAGAAAGGAAACCTTTTAAACCACTGAATCAGCCTGAGTCAGCCCCAGGGACCAACCCACCGGTGACAGGCACAGAAGTCAAACATCCTCTTCTCCCAAGAATGACTCTATGGTGCGGCTCCTTGAGATGTCATCTAGATCATGACTAACAAGTAAAAATAAAATGCATTACATAATATGCTGCAAAATTCTACTGCCAGAGTAGATTGTGCAAAGATAATAGAGTGAATTCTTATTTATAATTTGTCCTGTATTTTGAACAACTGAGCATAATAAAGTGAAACTGAATTTTAATAGATGTGGCAAAATAAAAGAGTGTGAAAAAATGTTTTTAAAGATGTTTTATTCTGATTGCCACGTTACCCTTGAAATGTGCAATATACATGGATAGTTCCATGCAAATGTGGAGACTCCGTAAACATTTGCTTCTAAAATAGAATTGTCTCTCCTAACAGAAATCTGATGTCATTTAGCAAATAACACAGATAAACAAATTGTTCCTGATCTTAGCATATGTGGTACCTGTTTGCAAACATGACATGAAGTCCAATCATTGTTTTCAACTAGAATGTCCTCCTTTACTGGTACGTGTGGTATATAACATCTAAAGTAGAAGGGGAAGGGAAGAACATGGGGGAAGGAAGAGGCAAAGGAAAGAGGAAAAGGAGTCCTGGTTCTCTCTGGAACAGACCCGGCAGTTTAACCTTCCCAGGGAAAAGTGTGTCATCTCACTGGCTCATGCATCATAATCACTTGAAAATGATAGGGGTATAATTTTATCCTTAAGTGGCCCCTGCTTAAGGACAAAGACACAGGGCAAGAAGAGAATTCTGTTTGTGGATCCAGAAAATCTCCAACAAAAAATTTAAAATGACAAATGCCAGGATGGTTCTTATTCTCAAATCCAATGATCCTTTTCAGAAGTCTCCCTCCTTCTGAAAGGGAGGTCCCACTTGACAGGGGAGCTGCAAGATACTCTTCAACCTGTTTCTCTAGTTTCCAAATCAACATTCTTTGGGGCTCTAGAGGAGATGACAATACCATGCAAATAAGTTTGCATGTGGAAATATCCTGATTTCCACAGCTGTCCTTGAACACRTGTATAGAATTAAGTTACAGCTGAGGAATAACATCTGTGCTGAGAACAAATTACCAGCCTTCATAACCTAACAGGCACTCTCCTTGCACTTTGTAAAGGGGTAGACACTGACACTCCTCTTGAACTGTGCAAAGTATATCGAAGAGCCCATTAAGAGGTCCTAAATCAAATACAGACCTACATAATTTTGACTTCTGTGTGCAAATTAACACATTCAAGGATACTGGTTCCTCCAGGGAATTGTGCTGAGCTTCTCTGTTTACAATTCTAGTGGCTATTAAAAACACAAACAAAAACAGCAATCTTTCTAGGAGCACCATCCTAYCAGTGCTGAGGTAAGTGTTCATCTATTTTCTGTGCTTGATCTAAATTATGCCATGAGGTCAAGACTCTCTATTCACAGACTTATTTGGCTCCTAACCAAAACGACTTACCAAGAGTGTTAAATATATAAATAAGCTACCTCAGTGGTTTCTGTTAATCGAGTTTGAATAACACAGGCCAACCAGATCATTAGAAAGCATCTCGGGGTGTGTTCATTAATTTTTCAATGATTTAGGGTSACTGCCAATCATTTCCATACCCCTGGACCCGGATGACGCTTTAGTGTTTAACTGGGCAAGTGTAATCTCATTTAACTCAAAAGTTGCAGTTACTACTCAACTAATACACTCCTGTTTTCATAACATAAGTGCATTTATTCCTGAATATTACAGTTTTAATTTTAAACAGAGATGGGCAGTGTCAGTGTCCTCTCACCCTCCCCCACATCTGAATTAGGAACTGTGGTCACATTAGTGGGTTGGCTTCTTCTCTCAGTAGAGAAGCCAAATGCTCTGCATGCCCGTGTAAGCCACTTCTGATTCTACCAAACACTCAAAACCAACACCATCTTCCTTCCCTCCTGGGTGGAATGTTAAACCCTGATTTGCAATAAAGTAAGAAAAGCTTATTCCTGCTGCTTTCCTGATGCAAGAAACTGTGTCTGAGGACCAGTCATTTGGGCATTGCTTTAAAAGGCACATTTATTCCAGTGGCAATTTAAACAAATAGAGAASAAAAGAAGAAGATTAAAAACAAAACAAACAAAACAAAAAAGCCAGGATGGGTTTTGTGGAATACATTAAAGTAAATAGGAATCTGGGATCTCTACAAACCACTTGAGCGCCTCACCAATAGTCTAACCAGAGTCCCTAAGGTAGTCATTCACAGTTGTATCTTGACACTCCTAGGCCTTCAGAAAATACTGTTTAAAAAAGTAATCRAGTACTCTCAACCAGCTTGCCCTGATGTCCAGTTCAAGTGTGCAATGCAAAAGGCTACAAAATTCAAAACTATGTGACAAAGAAAATTCAGTGCATATCACAGGCTTTGATAAATTATGCAAAATCATCATATATATTATTATTTAAATAACATCTGAGAAACGTATTCAAATAATTAACTTGTGTTCACATTCCATGCATTTTCTAGCAGGTTAAGCCCTGGGTTTGTGTCTTTGTGCCCGTTTCCTACAAAGCTCCATTCTTTGACAAATCCAAGCATTCCTCAGACTAAAATGGAAGTACCCAGGGATTCTGTCTATTTATCCTCCTTATTGCATACCTGACCTCACAAGGGCTTCTTGTTATCACCACTGACACAGAAGACAACTGGAAAAGCAAACTGGGGTTTTATTTGGGATTTTATTCTCTGTGTTTGCAAAATCTCCAGATGTCAAAGACACCACCTGACTTTTTTTTCCAAGGGCAAGAACTATTGTGGCCCTCTGCCTCCTATTTGATCCCTCTCTCTTTCTCTTCCTCAGCCCCAAGTGGGCTAGGATCCCCTAGCAGCAGTGGACCTTTCCCTTGTGGTTTTGCAGCACCCTCCTTGAGCAAAGAAGGAAACACAAGAAAACTTGAAAACAAACCAACAACAGCAACAACATAAATTCCAAACAAACAGGCGGGCAAACCAGTAGCCTCCTCCATGGCGGAGGCTCACTTTTTACTGTAGAATTCGGGGTTGTTTAGGAACTTCCTGATGACCAACCCTAAGCAAACCACCAACAGCAGCATGTAGCCAACGGTGCCCGAGAAGGTGGGCGCAGCAGGTGGGGCCTGGAGGAACTGGCGCAGGCCCTCCTCCACGTAGTACACCTGGTCATAGATACTGAGGAAGGTGAAGATGTGGAAGAGCTGGTGGCTGTGGCCGATGATGTCGAAGAGGCCTGGCTGGATGCGCTCGGGGATCTTGCTCACGTTGAAGAAGGCGGCCACCACCAGCCAGAAGTAGCGACGGTAGAAGTGCACGAAGAGCGTTGGGTTCTCGCCACGCAAGTCGAAGAGCCAGCTCTCCAGCATAATGGGGCAGGCCATGCTGAGCGGCATGATGAAGACGAAGGTGCGCAAGGCRAACGGATAGGCGCACCAGTCGGTGCGGCTTTTGCAGCAGGCCACCGTGCATGCCACAGCCAGCACGAAGGCCACCGGCAGCACCAGCGCACGATAGACGGCAATGAGGCGTGTGCAGTCCACGTGCCAGCCGAGGCGCTGCTGTACATACGGGGTCATGACTCTGGCGTCCAGCAAGCTCAGGCCKGGCAGCAGATAGTAGTAGTAGGCCACTGTGCTGCCGAAACCATAGTAGCTGATGGATGCGTAGTCCAGGTAGAAGAAGGCGGCGCGCAGGCGCAGCGACAGGCAGCTGAACACGTGCGCCGTGCAGCTCATGGCGAAGGTCAGCAGAACACCCGACGCATAGCACCACAGGGGCAGCAGCCACGGGTGGTGGAAGGGTACATCGCGGCCGCTCAGGAAGAATAGGCGACAGAACTTGCTCAAGAACAGCAGCAGCGGGATGAAGTGCGTCCAGAAGTTGAGCGTCTCATTGGTAGGCTTCAGCACCGAGGCCAGACACTCCTGCGCCGTGCATGGCAGGCGCCGGTAGCCCGACAGGATGAAGCACTCCACGAAGTCGTCGGGGACCTCGTCCCAACGCAGTAACTGCTTGGCAGACGCTGGGAGGTCCCCGGAGGCTGCGGGAAGAGAATGCCGGTTGGCCCCCGAAGCTGCGGCAGCCGTGGCGGGAGGGCCCTTTGTGCCCGTGACCCGGGGCTGCAGGCGCCGCGGCATGGTGCTCGGGGCTCCACTAGGGCGCACGCAGGCGATCTCTGGCGCCGGCTCCCGCGCGCTAGGCAGCCCCGGCCGGTCGCCGTCGGGGCCTTTGTGCCTGCTCCGGGGGCGTCGCTGCAGGTTCAAGACCAGACCCGAGCCTCCTCGTAGCTGCTCCTAAATAAAAAAAAAATAAATAAATAAAATCACAAAACAATCAGTAGGCAGCGCGGCGACAGGCAGGAGCGCACGAGGCTCGGCGGCCCCCTCGCCGAGCTCCCTGCTACCCGCGTGCGGCCGCCCGCGCTGCGGCAGCGGCGGCGGCGGCGGCGGCGCGGCGGACTGCGGCGGCGGCGCTGCTGCGGTGACTGGGCATCGCGCGGTGCGGGCGCTTCTGCCGCCGCCCCCGGAGCGAGAGGCGGGGATGTGAGAGCCGAGGCGCTGGAGGGAGGGAGGGAAGGAGGGAGGGCGCACTGAGGAAGGGCGGGGGCCTCCCCGGCTAGGGTTTCGCGGCCGCCGCGGGGGATAGAGTTGTCCCCAGTCTCGAGTTCCGTACCATCCCCCTTCTCGGGCCTCCGCAGCCCAGGCCGACCCGTTAATGATTGATGCGAGGGGCAAAGGCTGGCCGGCGGCTCAGCCGCTCCGGCCGGGGGTGAGGGTCGGCTCTGGGATTCGAAACCCGACAGCCACGCGGGCGTTCTAGAGGACACTGGGGAGCCGCGTTCTCAGGGGGCGGGGAGCTGCGGCCGCGGGGGAGGGGAGGGAAGGCGCGCCCGGGCCCGCGCGGGGCGGAGAGATGCGAGATGCGCTGACAGTCATCTCCGGAGGTGGCCCGCGAGGGGACACTGCAGAGATCGGGGACGCGGGGCGGGGGCTCTGCTACCGGGTCCGGATCCGAGCCTTGTCATTGTCAGATACCTGGTGCTGCTTCTCTCTCCCTGCCCCTCGCTCATCCTTGCGTGCATGCGTGTCGGCCTTTCACTCCAAGCACTACACCGAGCCTTATATTTATCCCCTTTCCCCTAGCGGACTTATTCAGGTGCGTCATTATCCTCCTATTTCCCTCACCCTTGTCCTGTCCAGAGGAACCGTCCCCAAACTACCCTCCGCTTGTGCTCACCAGCCATTGGAGCCACAGCTCACCCATCTTCTTGCGTCTGTAACTAGGATTCTTGTTTGGAGCCCCGAGTCCGGCAGCTCAGGACGAGTTGCTGGAACCTCCGCATTTTAGTGAAAAACTTCACACGACGACCTGGCGATTCMGAAAACGTCTTAGGATCCGAGGAATTTATTAAGAAGGGATTCCCAAGCAGAGCTGCGCCGGAGTCAAGGGAGGGCGTGGATGAAAGAAGACCTCAGGGAGCAGGKGCATTCTAGCACGAATTGAAGAGAGAAAGCAAGATCATTTCCTAGAGACAYGGCAGGCTTGGGTAAAACTTATGCATAATTAACCAGGAGTACCTGTCAGGATAGGTTGGATGGCTGGAGGCAAGAACAAAAGATTCGAAGACTCCAAGTGATTTGGAAAGGTGCCTTGACCCTTGAAGAAAGAGGGGCTCCAAAACCTGTGTGTTCTAAAAAGTTCTCTCAGTGATACCCTGGGGGTATGGCTGASTTTAACTGATCTCTAACCTGTGGTACAGGCGACAATAAGCACTAAGCACCTTACAGTTTTCAAATCTTTTAGGTATCATGCATCCCATTTTACAGAAGAGGAAATGGAGGCACCCTTGACCATAAAGAACAGGCCTAAGTGGTAGAAGGGGAACCTGAACCCAGGTATGCTGTTTCTAGATTTCATGTATTTCATCTGGAACATCCAGCAACTCCTTTTACTCAAAGGAAACAGTAGGGAAGAAAGGAATGATTTAGGAAAAGCTTTCAATTTTCATTTTTAAGTTCATTTCAAGAATAAAAGGCTACCTTCCTAACTACAGCAAATCCTGTAAGTAAATTAAGGAAGATTTACTTAGGAGAGGCTCAAGGTGGCTTTAAGATATGGATAAAAATTATTTATAACTGGGATATCATTCTGTATTGAAAATGTCTAGAATTACTTAACAGTCTCTTTAGAAGTGTTGGCCTTCTCTCTGAAATATTTTCCACTAGTAATTGATTTAGCAAACTCTTACACAATTAGGCCAAAGGCAAACTCTGGTCTTGTGTCTGACCTAGCACATATTCCTGATTAATGGATTTTAATAAATAAGGTTTGCTGCATTTATTTAACCAGTATTTTGTTTTAGTGTTCTCTGGTTTCCCACTCTCTGTTTTAAAGTGAAATCTAATTTCCTTTCACATCTGGACGGAGGGCCCATGCTAACTTGCTAACTTGCTAACTTGTGAAAGGGATTAAGATTCAGGCACTTAATTCAAGCCTAGGAATGATAAACCTGAATCCAGGGCAGACAGGGGGAAAAAAAAATTCTTTTCATGTACTCTTTGTCACTCCACAAACAGCCTAAGCTGTAGCCTGTAAAGAATGTTGATCTTATAATAATTCCCACATTTAGCAACCTCTTTGTTGCATGATCAGCTCACTTACATAATTGGAAAAAATATAATAAAGAGTTCATGTCAAGCAAAATAATGGAATTGGCTGTAAATGAGTGTGCACCATCTCTAGCTAGATAAGATAACATTTATCATTGCATCTAAGAATGGCAGAATGGACTCTTAATAAAATATAGTGTTCTTTTAAAAAGTCGTTATTTTATAAAGTCAAACAATCAGCACCCTGTCACAACATTCTTGTAAGTGATCACAAATCCTTCATGGTCTCTGCCTTTCTCCTTTCTCATATATTCTTGTCCCATGGGAGGTGCAAAGTCAAGTACAGCCATGCAGTGAGAGGTGTTCATGAACATTCACTGGTGCAGAGCCCAGACAGCTAACCTTGCTGTATCTTGACAAAGCTAAGTAAAAAGGAATAAAGGAAACAGCAAGAGTGTTCTAATTATAAAAGGTTTTCATTATAAAATAGCAATGTGATTGTTCCTGAATTAGTACCCATCTATAGGGTTAATGTCTCTTAATTTTAAAAATTGTGATATAAAAATGTGTTCCCCACCTCCCACCAAAGCTGGGTTTTGTAGTTTGTTTTAATTCCAGTAAACTGTCTGCCTCTTGTCAGTGAGAACCAGGCTTACGTTGCTGGGTTTGGCTGAACAGATAGAAGCAATGTGCTGATTGCCACCTCCCGCCCCTCAAGGTGTGTGTGGAAAGCCAGTGCTGGAGTCTGGACACAGAAACCAGCTCGTGTTCTCGATGGAAAGCTTGCCAAATGGAGGCTGCAAACGTGGTTTTGGTAGTTCTGTAGAAATTTTGTACATCAGCATCCTGTGGGGCCCTGGCTGCAAAATGCAATCATATGTTGGCTGTGTGGCAAACTTGGATAAACGCTTTTTCTAATCTGATTTGCTTTAGTAACTTTCTTCTAGACCAGCTATYGGTGTCTTTGTGGTTCTCTCTAATGAAATGAAGCATATATAAAATTTCACAGTAAATTTKATGTTTTCTAATAAGGACAATTAGTGACTTGTAAAATCTGCAGAAAAACATGCCAGTTGCTAATAAGACACCTATTTTCCAGAGGAAATAACTTTTTAGTCTCACGTTAGCCAGAAAACAATGAGCCAAGCAAGTAAACAATAAACCACAATGGACCTAGGAGTTAATTGCACGCAAGAATCTTTAGAAAGAGAACTCAAGGGTTCAATCCCTGTCTTCAGAATATACAGTCTCAACAAAATGCTTCTCTTTTCTCCAAGTAGAAAGTAGCCATGATAGTGTCCACCACACTCTCCCAGGTCAGACAGGGTCACAGCCAAACAACAGGGCATGAGCTCCTTAGTGGTAGAAAATCTTATGGCATCAGAAGTGACTGTGACAATCTTTGGGGACAAGCGTGATTGGAAAGTCAGAGAGAGGGGCTGGAAACTGGAGAGAAAGCGCTATTCCTGCCTGTTCCCTGACCGTTTCTCTCTTGAAGAAATGCTAAGGAAGACTTGTTGAGGATGTTTTTCCTTTGAAGTTTCCATGTAGTATCAATGTCACATGCCCCAACCTTGGCTCATTCTCCTTTTTACTACCCGGGGTCTCCAAAGTGGGCGCACAGGAGRCTAAGCTGAAGAATAAAAGATTACAATTTCTGTGTAAGTCTCATCAGTTTCAATATGAAGCTTTAAWAGGTAGTCCATGGGGGTAATTGATAGGCAATAAATTGAGGCCCAGGGAAGGGTCAAAACACTTTGAGAAGGGTGGGTGATGGGAMTTGTTTATTGACCTCTGCTCCATAGTCCATTGCCCTTGTTTGTACAGTATCAGAAAGTAGCATATAATTAATAAACAAAAACAGCTACCATGAATAAGAAGAGTCAGACTAGAGGATTTTAGGAACTAAGTGGTCTTCCTATTCTAAGATTCTAGGATTTTAGGTTCTAACCTTTGAAAAGCTTATTGTGATGATTAAAAAAAAAAGAATCCCAGTCACAACAGGTTGGGTGTTTAGTATGCACAACAGATGGTGACCCCCCAAACCTCTTTCCAGTGACTTGAGAGTCAGGAGGGGGAATCCACCCTGGACCTGGGAGAGAGGCGGAGGCCAGCTGGACAAGGTGGCAAGGTGAACACATTCTCCCCATTTTTAGGCCTAAACAAAACAAAACAGGCACAGAGAGGTTCAGCAGCCCGGTGGCAGAGCTGGAATCCAGTGCTTTTCTTTCCAATCCCCTCAACCTTTCCTTCATAGGCACTTGCTCCTGAGAAGCTGTTACATAGCTTACCTTGAACATTTCCAGTAAAGGGACTTATTCTCTTCCATCATAATTTTTTTTCTTTTATCATTGTCGTTATTGGAAGATCTTGTTAATAATTAAAGGAGTGCTGTTGATGAGAAACACACACTGTTGCATCTTGGCCCAAAGGTCAACCGTAAGGGTTATTGAGTCTGTGTCTGGTTAGAAAGTTCCCCCAAAGAACCATGCCAGATAGGGCAGTTGCACACGTGGAAAGTGACCCTGGATGTGACTAGGTACGTTTAGTATAACAAGTGTCATCGTCTAAAGGAGGAACATCTGTTGATCCCAGAGGCTTGCTGCACAGAGGCAAAGAGCAGATTCTGTGATTTCACAGATAGTCTTTGCATTTATCACAATATTATCAATTAGAGCAGCTGACTGGTACAGGAGGGAAGTATCCTGTTACCTCATCACACACTTGACTTCGAGGGGAGGGCATCTCTGTTACGGGGCTCAGCTTGGGCCTCAATGAAACTTGCTTGTCGCAGGTTCTGTTTAGTTCTATTATGTAATGATGTTTCTTCTTCTTTTTTATTTTTTTTTTTTTTTGAGGGTTAATGCTGAGAGCCATTGCCAAGTAGGAATGACGCATSGAAATTTCCTTGCCAGCATACCCCATGTTGCTTAGAGGAAGGACTCGTGGAAAYGGACTTGCCTTGGACATTCGCTGTGACATTGCATGTATGTTTGAGAAAGCTGACTCTGCTCAAGGACCAGGGTGGATCCGGGTTTAGGGAGGCTCCTACTGGATTAGGGCGGATCCAGGTTTAGGGTGTATCCTGCAGGTTTTAGGAAGTATCCCGCTCCTTGGGTTTAGGGCGTTCTGGTTTAGGACAATCTGGGTTTAGGGCGGTTCCAGGTTTAAGGTTATTCCTGCTGGGAATA